AAAAAAAAAAAAAAAAAAAAAAAAAAAAAAAAAAAAAAAAAAAAGGCCCTTAGTGACTGGCCTGTGCAGCGAGCGAGGTATCTGTCGTTTGGATAGGGTCCGTCTACTTACCAAATTTCAGAATTCCAATTGCAAATTATGTAAAGTAAATATCACGCTCGCTTCTTGGTTAAACTTAATCCTGCTTGCAGCGGTTTGTTTACTTTTACTTTCTGCTTTGACTTTGACTTTCCTTTTTTTTTTTTTTTTTCTTTACTTTTTTTACTTTACTTCACTTTACTTCACTTCACTTTACTTTACTTTACATCACTTTCCTTTACTTTTCTTCCCTTTACTTTCTTTTACTTTAATTTACTTTACCTCACTTTACTTTACTTTGATTTTCTTTTCCTTTACTTTCTTCTCTTTACCTTTCCTTTGTTTTACTTTACTTCACTTTCCTTTACTTTCCTTCACTCTCCCTTACTTTCCCTCACTTTCCTTTACTTTCCCTCACCGTACTTCACTTCACTTTCCTTCACTTCACCTCTCTCTCCTTCACTTCACCATACACAACGTCCATCTACCTATCCACCCATCCATCTCTCTACACACCTCCCAACAACCTCATCCCAACCTCGAGAATTAAATCGGAGTTCTGCTGATCATCTTCTAGAATTCACCACTTCAACCATACAGAAAAGATATACAAACATGTATACCGGTATACCCATCCAAGCATCTAACTTACCAACCATCCACTCATCTATGCATCCATATATCAGAAATCACCATCAAATTCCAAACCCCGCACCCCAAACCCCGGATCCAAAATCCTAAAACATACACTCATCTATCAATCTACCCATGCATCAAACTATCCACTACCATCTGAAGGGCTACGATTCTTTACTCGTACGAGATGCCTCTCACGAACCTCCAGCTTTCTTTCCTGCAGCAAGGAGAGTCTCGAAAGCCAAAATCAAATCAAGGTACCCTTTCCGAAGAGATTTTCTTTTACCAGCGATCCGAACGAGCCTCCTCTTCATACCTCGATTACCACGCCGATGACGATTTATACTCCACAGGCATACCGATTGAAAATATTAAAAGCATTTGCGATAAAAAAGGGAACGAGGTGAAAGAGATGAGAGAGGATTTAAGACGATCTACGAAATCGCGCTTTCGAAGAGGCCACCTAGCTAATCCCGGTCCGGCCTCGAATTATTTCGATAATCGACACCGATATACGTTACTTACGCTGTAACTTGCTTGTGAAGTTTTTCTTTCGACGAAGATATATCTTATCTGCGATCTATCTTATTCGTAGAAAAAAAAAAGCATAATCGATAGCAGCTGCGCTGTACTAACTTGAATTGCTTTTGAAAGTTATAAAGGTTATGCGATATCGCGGGATGAGAGACCCGAGGCTTCTCGAAAGAAAGCCTTTCTTTAACGTGGTTTTTATTCTCGATTAAATAATACTTTATATATAGTTCCTCTACTTAGCACGTCGCCGTACCTTATAAGAGGCCCTAGGGTCCAAGCATTGCGTCTTGGATACCCGCCCGACGTTAATAAATACAACAACAAAATCCAATACCATCTCTAGAGCCCGTTTAATTTTCGTGATTTCAACCATTAAGAAGAGAAAAGGGACACATATACACATAGGTGAAGAGTTTGAGGCAAGCAATCGACGATACTATCTTCATAGCATCAAAGTATTCTATCCATTGCTTAAAGCCATCGATCGCTGTCTATGAAATGTACACTTTCTTTAAATCCTCAACCTTGTACAATTTCCCGCTGCCGCCTTCCCTCAAATCCCTCACCCACCCCTTCTCCAAGCCTGCTTTCCGACTATATTCTTCAAGCCTTTCGAGTCCATAGACGCAATTGTTCGGCAGCAGCACTAAATCGCTTTCCACGTGGCTGGTGGTGTGGTGCGCGTAGGGTACGTTGCGGGCGAGATCGTTAAGCTCGGTAGAGCAGATGGGGCAGACGGATGTTGTTAGTGAGGAGGACGAGGTGGGTGAAATGGATTGGGATTGGGTTTGAGTTTGGGGGCGGGTGGAAGAGGAGGAGGGGAGGTGGTGTGAGGAGTGGCAGGAGGGGGTTTTGAGGGCGGAGAGGCCGGCCGAGAGGGCAATGTGAAGGAGAGGGACGGAGGGGAGAGAAAGCAGGGCGTTGTGGGTTGTTGCGAAGAGGTTGGAGAGGGTGGTCCAGCGAGTGAACGAGTATAGTTCCTGTGCGTAATTAAGTGAGATGTGTGTAGACTGGCAAGATGGGGAATTTACGGAATATGCCTCTGCTCTCGTCGTGGGAGGAAATGCGAGAAGTCCACAGGCTTGTTGCACCTCCTTCGGATATGCTTCTCGAAAGGGTAGTAAGTACTTTTTTGCGTGCGCAATACTCTCCAGCAGCTTCGCCTGTTCCTGACTGCGCACCAACTCGATGTACTGCTGAAAGCGGAGCATGAACTCGAGACTACTCTGCCTCTGTGTCAGTCGCATTCCCCTTCACATGTGTAAAGAAATAAAGAAAATATACCTCCATCCTCCGCAAATCCTTCTTGTTCTCCTGACACCACGCCAAGGCTTCCTGTGTCCTCCCGTTCAGCAGAGATTCTCTGATCTTCCCCATCTGCACAAAAGTCTCCACATCCACCAACTCCTCAATGCCCTTCTCCCTCGCCAGCGCCCCTGCGCTCTGCCTATACCCATTCCTGAGCAGATAGTCTACCAATAACCTGTCCAGCCGCGTCCGACTCCACTCCTCGTACTTCACGTCATCTAAGCTCTGCATACCGTACAGCTCCCCTATATGCTTAATCCTACTCGCCGACTGCTGATGCAAGCGGGCTTCTTCTTCCGAGGCAGCAGCAAGCTTGCGCTTGAGGTTACGCATGCGGACGAGCATCGAGTCGACGTTCTTGAGGATCTCGGCGGGGTCGCTAGACGAGGGAGATTGGGAGACGAGGGCGGTCTCTTTGAGGGTAGACTTGACGGACGAAGAATCCATTTCTACGGAGCGGTGGGCGGACTTGAAATTTTTGCGGAGGAGCTCGAAGGGGAGACGGAGAAGGGGTTGGTCCTGGGGCGCCCTTGTTAGTTGTGGACGGTATAGGTGAAGATGGTGGAGATGGAAGTACCAAAATGAGGTGGGTCTCTGGGTTGAGCTTTGAAGTTATGTGGTCGGCCATCTTGGGACGAGAGAGGGTGGTTGCATGTGTTGTGCTTTGGGGAGCGTTCGAGAGCTGTCAAGGACGGTGGTGGGAGTGATGGCTCTGGCTGGAGTTCTGGGCTTACTTGTCTTGGGGCGAGGGGGAGGAGGAGGGAGAGGGGGAGGAGGAAGAGGAGGAGGAGGAGGAGGAGGAGGAGGAGGAGGTAACCGTATTATTTTTGATCTCGCTCTTCTCTTCGTAATGTATCTAGTTGGTGTGGGAGTCGAACGATCTGGCAAATGTTCCGTGATAAGTATGTAGTATAGTCGGGTGCTGTTGTTGCTGGAGAGTGCAAGAGCTCGCGTGAGCCTTTGCCTCGGAACTTCCTCCCCGTCATCCCCATGCTCTGGGTATGGGGTGTGTGCTTAGTGAATGCATCTCTGTACGTATAGATTTTTGGAGATTACCGGTAGGTACCGTATCTCAACCCTCAACCACAGTCGTCCGTAGCACACTTTGATCTTGGCCCAAGTCAACACACTTCTACGCCGTATTTTCTTGATTAATGGACGGTGCGATAGCTGCACATCATTGCCGTCATCAATAATCATCCATCCCACGTAGGCTCATTCATAGATTTCGGAGCGTTACGTCTCCAAGAGTCCTGACAAGGCTGGCCTCGACTACCCATCGCATCGCAGCCTCTTGGCATGGCGATCGCACTTGAAGCATTTGCCTACTGCCGCGCTTTACCTCAAGGGACTAGACAGGAATACTTGAAGAATGCTCCATACCGGTAGCTGAAATCTTGACCTAGCTTAGCCTGAGCATTTACTCCATCCCATGAATCGTTGAATCTTGAACCGTGGAATCAGAGTCCAATGTCTTTATTCATCTAGCCGTTCATCTATCTCCCGTACCGGTATTCCCACTCTCCCCTCGAGCTCGAGCTGGTCATCTGACCTGGAACCCTCTCTCTGTCTTCCCCTTGCCGAACGCACCCCTGCTCCTCATAGCGGGGCCTCTGCTAGCGTCACGCTTGATCAGGTGCTGGCCGCACGTGTCCGAGTTTTTACAACTCTTCCTCAACTCCATCCAAGGTCGGGTCTTCGCCATCGATAACATAAAGGTGTCTATCGGACATTGTGACCGCAAAAATCCATCACGATCCTCTTTCGCAGACCTGTCTGGTGCACGATTTTCTCACGTTCGTTTTTTTAAAAACGACAAGTCTTTCGGTCAACGTGACCTCACCTCACCTTCGTCCGCCTCCTCCCTCACCTCGACCCGACGACTCTCTATCTCCCCGTCGGACTGGATTGGACTTGATCGGGAACCTTCTTGATCTTGCTATTGTCCTCGGATTGTCGAGATTGTAGAAATTGACGCGTCGCCGCAATACAAGTCGCGTGGGCAGCAGACCTACAATCCAATCCCTACCTATCCAGTACAATAGAATACAACAAATACAATAGGTAAGCATTTTCTACTTTTCCTTGCACTTCGTCCTTCTCCCAATTCGCATCACTACGGTCCTGTTCTGCCCATCTCGGCGATTCCATTCAGTTGGTGTCACTACCACCAGCTTCGGTCACGTCGCATCGCAGTGGTCCAGCTCCCCGTTCAAGGTCACGACCTCGTCACGCCCAATGCTCGGACTTCACTGTTGGCCCAAGTCCAGCGCGCTTTGCCCTGCCCGCCCATCGGATCGCAAACACCGAATCTCCTGCTTCTTCCCTTCAATGTCACATCACGCCGACCAGCCATAAGTCTTCGCTCCCTGTACCGTACCGTGCTGCAACTCAAACAATGTCTTTGTTTGCAAGCAACAGCAGCAGCAGCAGCAGCAGCAGTGTCAAGCTCTCTCGCGCTCACGCTTCAGACTGTACTTCGCCAGCGCGTGTGTTTTTCGCCCTAATATGACCTGTCGAACGGATATCAATCCTCTGAGGGCAGGGCAGAACAATTTCATGGCCATCGCATCGCATCCCCCGTCAGCGCATCAAAAAGTGCAATTGCAATGTGGTACTTATCTGCAATGACACGTGCTGACAGTGTAGGTACAACTACGAAGGTTACAAAAACGTTCGTCGCGAGAAGAGACTGAGCGAACTACTGCAGCGGAGCGCTTCGAGAACTCTCATCGGCGCGAATCACCCAGACCTCTCTTCGAGTTGAGGATCGCACGCAGTAGATCGATTCGTTGTACCTGTACAGAGGCCGGTACAACACGTCATCTTTCGCCCCGACGGAACAGCTCCAGCCTTAATACTTCCTGCCAACCCTCGAGGTCATCTGCGCCTCTCGGGACCTTTTCCCTCACCAGACCTACGAATCATATCGCAAGGCTCGTCACGAGTAGGGCATAACGGTTATAATGTCAGACATGGATCTTGAACAAGGCTTGCAAGAGGTCGCAAACGCTATGCGCGAAGACATCTCCCAAAAGCGGAAGCGGGATTCTGAATCAGCTGATGACACACGACGAGGTAACAACAAGCGTATCTCACCCAACAATGCTAGTAAGGATCAGCAGGACGTTGAGGCGCTCCAGGATTATAACAACCTCCACCACCAGGCCCAACTCGACAACCACAACGGTTCAAATCAGCATGAGGCCACCGCTCAAGCTGCGCTCGCTGGCATCTACCCGACTATGACCGTTCCGCAAGCCACCGACGTCTCATTCGCTACCCAAGATTCCGACGGTGGTCGCGACAACCCTTACATGGATAACAGCCAGAATGACGGTGGCTACTCCGGCTACGGCCAGGAACCTGTCGAGAGGAGCAGAGGCAAGCCAGCGGTTGGATCCGACGAGTGGCATAAGGTTCGCAAGGACAACCACAAGGAAGGCAAGTTTGGACACGGCCAGCACATTTTGGCATGCGCTAACAGTAAATGTAGTCGAGCGCCGTCGCAGAGAGACCATCAATGAAGGGATCAATGAGTTGGCCAAGATCGTCCCCGGCTGCGAGAAGAACAAAGGCTCGATCCTGCAGCGTGCAGTCCAATTCATCACACAATTGAAGGAGAACGAGACGCAGAATATCGAGAAGTGGACCCTAGAGAAGCTCTTGACAGAACAAGCTATTGCTGAGTTGAGCGCAAGTAACGACAAGCTGAAGGCCGAGTGCGAACGCGCATGGCGTGAGGTTGAGACCTGGAAGAAGACTTGTCAAAGCGCCGGTCTTGCTCCTAAGAAAGATGAAGGACCCCTCGAAAACTAGACGCTTGCATCTTGAACCTTGGGTGGCCCTCAGTCAGTGTGACGCTTGGGTATGCGACGGCTTCTTCGATATGATGATACCCTTACATACGATTTTACGAACTCCGACAGTCGCTGCCTCTCGCTCTTCTTGTATGGACATTGATTCAGTTCTCACTTTTCCTCTTGGTCACTGCTTTTCGCATCACCGGCTTCTTGAGGCTCTCCTTAGCTGAGCTTGAGTGTAGCCAGTTCCTTTCTCTTATCGCGCACAATCGGGAGATATTTGATGATGGACAAATCGGACTCCTAGAACGCAAAACACTGAGGTCGGGGTATGCATTTTCTTTCTTTGTTCTTGGCGTTTGCGGTTTGCAAAGAATTCCCAGTGTGTGTCATAGGAAGTAAATGAAGAGGATTGCATTGAAAGAACGTTAACGTTCAGTATCGTGATGCGTGTTCAAGATGTAGAGTCACTTTTGACAAGAAGATGCTCGAACTTTTGCAGAGAGAGATCTGTAAGACCAGCCCAGTATCACAGCCGAAAGGACAATTGACGACATGGTACATTTATTAGGCTCTATGCTCTGATGGAGAAGTTGAAAATGCGAAGAGGTAGGTAGATAGAGATACATAAACATAGACAACAGCCTTGTCAGCGAGGCTGCGTTATCCGGGCGGGAAAGGCTGATTTTGATTGACGGCTAAGTAGAAATTCGGGAAAGAAGGTCCCGGAAATGCTTGATCGATGACGTCTACCAATTATTATACGTAAGAGCAAGCAAGGCTTACTTGCCCTACGAAGTAACTTTCCTAATACTTACTTACCTTGTCTCCTTATATGCGCAATTCTCTATCATAGACTCTGTAGAGGGAATCATAGGTAACTTTAATATACCTACCTACCTAGGTAGATAGGATATTGTAAGCCACAACTGCACCTCTGAAGCACTCGAGGTAATGCCTTACTGGGTAAGTATAAAGTGGGGTATGCAGGCATCGGAGAGATTGAGAAGCTCAATGCCGATAAGAGCTAGCCAGACCGCTGACGAAACGAAATGTTTTGATAGCATAACGGCCCGGGACCCAGAAGGGTGGATTGATAGATTGCCCAAGCGACTTGCTTTTGCCGAGCTTCTCTTCTCTTCTCTCAGCGGCAACACCAACGCCAGCCAACACCGACATTTCCCTCCACGATAATAAAAAGGCGACTACAACGCGCCTCACAATACGCCAAAACGGCGGAACATCCCTGCAACGAGAATACAGAATCGAACACGCTACCGAGAAAAGATAGGGAGAGAAACGATCGATCGAGAAGCTGCTTAGACAGGCAGGCAAGCAGCTGGCTACCAAAAAAATATGGCGCAGAGAATCCTATCCACAGGCTCCTTCTTCGGCCTCCACTCTGCGCCGCTGCAAGATGGTAGCGACTACATGTCCGCCGTGTCCCAACACAGCGGCCACCAGCCGTTCTGTGGCAACCGCGAAGGATGGGGCCCGCTGAGCCCGATCCGATACGATTTCACGCCGTGCTTCATGGATGTCTGGGTCAGCAGCGTGGCGGCCTTCGGGATCCTGTTTGGGGCGGGCGCGGTGTGGTGGTTGCTAAGGCGGAAGGGGAAGTTGGGTGGCATGGAGGGGAGGGGGAGGGGTTGGGCAGAGGGGGGAAAGATGGTAGGTCTATCTTCTATCGAATATCGGATGTTCTTGGGGCAGATGTAAAGGGATTAGTATTGGTCTTCTCTCATGGGTCTTCTTGCTAGGGGGTTATGTTAGGCTAGGAAGGATTATCGCTGACTGGGTATAGGCAACTATTGTGGCTATAGCTCTTTCCGTGGCCCTCCAACTCGTCTTCCAGATCCTCAACTATCCCAACGTCTGGGCGGGCGACTTCCGCTTCTGGACCAGCGTGCTGACTGTTCTTTCGCTGGGCGTCATCTTCACGATTCAATGGCTGGAACACGATCGGTTACGGAATCCTAATGGAGTGGTGTTGTTCTACTGGCTCTTCCTACTCATCGCGTGGTCCGTGAAACTGCGCTCCCTCCTCTCGCAGCAAGTCTATCACCACCATCTCCCATACTTCGTGGCATACTGCGTCGGTTACGGACTCGCGTGGGTGGAATTTGGATGGGAGTGGCTGGTGCCGAAGGAGAAGTCCGACTACCAGGTGGTGGGCGACGAAGACGAGTGCCCGGTTGAATACGCGACTGTCTTCTCCATCTTGACGTTCAGTTGGATGACGCCCATGATGCGCCATGGCTACAAGAAATTCCTGAATGAGGACGACCTCTGGAACCTCGCGAAACGCGATACCACCAAGTCGACCGGTGAGACCTTCAAGAAGGCCTGGGACAAGGAGATTGCCCACAAGAAAAACCCAAGTCTCTGGATGGCGATTTTCCGTTCATTCAGTGGACCATATGTGAGAGGTAGTTTGTTCAAGATGGTGTCCGATACCTTGGCGTTCGTGCAGCCGCAGCTGTTGAGGTTGTTGATCAAATTCGTGGATTCGTACCGTGAGGGCAGGGAGCCGGAGCCTGTGATCCGCGGCGCGGCTATCGCAATCGCTATGTTCGCCGTCTCGGTCGGCCAGACTATGGCCTTGCACCAATACTTCCAGCGTGCTTTCGAGACGGGTATGCGTATTAAGACAGCGCTGACGGCAGCCATTTACGGCAAGTCCCTGAAACTGTCAAATGAAGGGCGAGCATCGAAGAGCACAGGCGATATCGTCAATTATATGGCGGTGGATACGCAGAGACTGCAGGATCTAACGCAGTATGGACAGCAGCTGTGGAGCGCGCCTTACCAGATTATTTTGTGTATGGTCAGTCTTTATCAGCTGCTTGGGCTGAGTATGCTGGCGGGTGTGGGCGCGATGATTTTGATGATTCCTATCAACGGGTTGATTGCGCGGATGATGAAGACGTTGCAGAAGGAACAGATGAAAAATAAGGTGTGTTTACTCTCGAGTGGATCCTGCCCCGTTGCCCCCTTTCTAAGCGAAAGCGCCCCCGCTCTTGTAAATTCAGTTTGACAATACGCTCTTCAGCCGAGATGGGCAACAGATCTAATCATACTGCATCATAGGATCAAAGAACTCGACTTATTGCTGAGATTGTCAACAATATGAAGAGCATCAAACTCTACGCTTGGGGAAGCGCTTTTATGCAGAAGCTCAACTACGTACGAAACGACCTCGAATTGAAGACTCTGAGAAAGATTGGTGCCGCTCAAGCTATTGCTACTTTCACCTGGTCCACCACTCCGTTTCTGGTCTCCTGCTCGACCTTCACCGTCTTCGTCCTTACTCAAGACAGACCCTTGACCACCGATATTGTGTTCCCGGCCCTGACGCTATTCAATCTCCTTACTTTTCCCCTCGCAATCTTGCCCATGGTCATCACTTCCATCATCGAAGCTTCCGTGGCTGTCGGCCGATTGACTGCGTTCTTCACTGCCGAAGAGCTCCAACCAGATGCAGTCCTTCTGAAAGATGCCGTTGAGGAGAACGGCGAAGAGTCTCTCAAGATTCGCGACGGGACATTTTCCTGGGATAGACACGCTGGCCGAAACGCACTTGAGGATATCAATTTCACCGCCTCCAAGGGCGAGCTTACCTGCATTGTTGGCAGAGTCGGAGCCGGCAAGTCATCATTTCTCCAAGCCATCCTCGGAGATCTGTGGAAAGTCAGGGGCCATGTTGAGGTTGCTGGAAAGACGGCATATGTGGCTCAGCAAGCCTGGGTCATGAATGCAAGTGTCAAAGAGAATATTACCTTCGGGCACAAATTCGATGAAGTTTTCTACGAAAAGTGCGTCCACGCTTGCGCGTTGACCGAGGATTTCGCTCAATTGCCTGACGGCGATGAGACGGAAGTTGGAGAGCGTGGAATCTCGCTTTCTGGGGGCCAGAAAGCGCGATTGACGCTTGCGCGCGCTGTCTACGCCAGGGCTGATATTTACCTTCTCGATGACTGTCTGTCGGCTGTTGATCAACATGTTGGGAGACATCTCATCGATAATGTTCTTGGTTCCAATGGATTGCTAAAGAGCAAAACAAGGGTTTTGGCTACCAACTCCATCCCGGTCCTGTTGGAGTCTGACTTCATTTGTCTGATCAGAGACGGCAAGATCATCGAGCGTGGTACTCATAATCAGGTCATGGCAATGAAGGGGGAGATTGCAAACCTGATCAAGACTCTGAACAATCAGGAGTCCTCAGCAGAAACGTCAACCACTTCCAGCAATTCCTCGACAATCATCGATACTGACCAAGCTCTCGATGACGAGAAAGAAGATGAGATGGAAGAGGCCCAAGAGCACTTGACTGAACTCCAGCCTATTCGACCGGGAGGGTCAGGTGTCAAGAAGCGTAAGGGAAGTAGCGGGACCCTGAGACGAGCCAGTACCGCCAGCTTCAAGGGTCCGCGAGGCAAACTGCGTGATGAGGAGGAAGGCCATAAGAGCAAGAACAAAGAACATTCGGAACAGGGCAAGGTCAAATGGGACGGTAAGCTTCGTTACCCGGTTGCCGGAGCGTATCCATGCTAAATTGTATTGACCAGTGTATGCCGAATACGCCAAGACGAGCAATCTGTATGCCGTGGGCCTGTACGGGCTCATGCTAATCGGCGGGCAAACAGCACAGATCGGTAAGCTGCATCTTGTCTCTGTTTCCCATGCAGAGCTCGCCCATTCTGGAAATTCCCACCCCTTTTTGTCGTGTGACGCTTACTTTTGATCGCAGGTGGCAGCGTTTGGCTTAACCGGTGGGCCGACAGGAATGAGCGCGCGGATGGCAACCCGGAAGTCGGCAAGTACATCGGCGTCTACTTTGCGTTCGGCATCGGCGGTGCTCTGCTTGTCGTCGTGCAAACACTCATCCTCTGGATCTTCTGTTCTATTGAGGTAAGTTTGCTCGGGGGATCTGCAGGATGCAAGACGGCACAAAGCTAAACTCCGCCCCGTAGGCGTCGAGGAAACTCCACGAGAGGATGGCGTTTGCCATTTTCAGATCGCCGATGAGCTTTTTCGAGACGTGAGTGCCTTGCTCTGAGGCCAAGATTGTGGGATGGTGACTGACTGACGTGCGTAGGACTCCGGCTGGGCGTATCCTCAACAGATTCTCTAGGTGCGTTTACTTTCAATCCTTGCCGTCTGCTGCGATCCGAATTTGAGGAGTGGTTGGCGGTTCTTTCTTCCTTCCATAGTGTTTGCTTACTTTGCTGCTGCGGGGTTGCCCGAGCTACATAGAAAGCTTGACTCGAGGATTCTTGACTCTCCCCTCAGCACTGGTGCCACCAAGTGGTTGGAGACCCCGCAGCGTTGCATCAAGCACGTTGCATATGCAGTTCGTATCGCGGACTGTTATTTGTCGATGCTCGATGTTGTGCCACCCTAGTGTTCCGCTGCTTTACTGACACCAACCGCCACCGCTTAGCGATATTTACCGGGTCGATGAAGTGAGTTTTATCTGTGCTACCAAGCTGCCAGCTCGAGATTGACAGTGAGTTAGGTCCTTGCACGCACGTTTAACATGCTATTCGTCAACAGCGCTCGGGCCATGTTCACGTTAGCTGTCATCTCGACGGCGACCCCTGCTTTCACTGCCCTCATTCTCCCCTTGGGAGGTGTGTACTACTGGGTCCAACGCTACTATCTCCGCACTTCCCGGGAGCTCAAGAGACTGGACTCCGTAAGTAAAAGCCCTATCTATGCGCATTTCCAAGAGTCGCTGGGCGGTATCACGACCATTCGGGCCTACCACCAGCAGCAGCGTTTCGCAATGGAGAACGAGTGGCGCGTGGACGCAAATCTCCGCGCGTACTTCCCCTCGATCAACGCGAATCGGTACGTGACCCTCCCTCTTGCTGCGGGTTCCCACTTGCTTATAGAATGGATCCAGATGGCTCGCTGTGCGACTGGAATTCCTAGGATCAATTATCATCCTGAGTGCAGCTGGCTTTGCTATCATCTCGGTAGCCACCGGCAGCGGCCTCTCCGCCGGCTTCGTCGGTCTCGCAATGTCCTACGCGCTGCAAATCACCCAATCACTCAACTGGATAGTGCGCCAGACCGTCGAAGTCGAAACGAACATCGTCTCCGTCGAGCGCGTGCTCGAGTACGCACGCCTCGAGAGCGAAGCGCCCGAGGTCCTGCACCGGCACCGCCCTCCCATCTCCTGGCCTGCGTCTGGCGCGGTCGAGTTCAAGAACTACAGCACCCGGTACCGACCCGAGCTCGACCTCGTGCTGAAGGATATCAACCTTGACATCAAGCCTCACGAGAAGATCGGGGTTGTGGGGAGAACGGGGGCGGGAAAGAGTTCGCTTACGCTGGCGCTGTTTCGGATTATCGAGCCGAGCGAGGGAAATATCAGTATTGATGCGCTGAACACGTCGACGATTGGGCTACTGGATTTGAGGCGCAGGCTGGCGATCATTCCGCAGGATGCGGCTCTTTTTGAGGGGACGATTCGGGATAACCTTGACCCTGGACATGTGCATGATGATACGGAGTTGTGGAGCGTGCTGGGTAAGTCTGCTCCCAATCCTTCTTAAGTCTTTAAAGCCTTTTTTTTTTTTTTTTTTTTCGACCGTCACATTATACGGGATTCTGGGGACGGGGATAGGGCCGGGGTTGGACGAGGCAGGCGCCAATATGTCAGTGGCGCTGTGGTACCTGATTCCTCAGAATCTGCAAGCGGCGAATCGTGCCGGGGATTTCGGCTGACGAATTGGCTGTGCAGAACATGCTAGGCTGAAAGAGCACGTTAGCAGTATGAATGGTGGGCTGGAAGCGAAGATTCAGGAGGGGTGAGTCCTTGAGTGTTGTTCCTTATCTGCTTGTCGTCCCCTGCCTTGGATCCTTCCACCACCGTTGTTTTATGGCTGTATTGTTATGGTGCATGCTTCCGTGCCCAACCTCCTCTCTCCCAGTCAGCGCAATATGCGAAGGCTCAGGTAGTGGGCACACGGTTGTTCACATGCCAAACCGTCGCGTATGTGCGAGCTGTGCTTCCTTGCTTGGCTTTTTTTGTCTGCCTCGTAGGTGCTGGGCTTGCTGAAGCCTTCCCCTGAGTGCTGTACTGTGTACTCGGTCGGTGGTATTGGGGTTACATTGCACAACTCCAAGCACACCAACCACCCTCTTCTATTCTCACCATCCTACAACCCCACACCTCCCTTCTCCGTTCACAACATCACACCTCCCCCCACCAATCCAATCAGAAGACAGAAAGCACGCAACATCAATAACTGACGCCCCGCACAACAGTGGCTCCAATCTCTCGCAAGGCCAGCGCCAGCTCGTCTCTCTAGCCCGGGCCCTCCTCACCCCGTCCAACATCCTCATCCTGGACGAGGCCACGGCGGCGGTGGACGTCGAGACGGACGCCCTGCTGCAGACGACGCTGCGAAGCCCGCTCTTCAGCAAGCGCACTATCATCACCATTGCACACCGCATCAACACGATCCTGGACTCTGACCGCATCGTTGTGCTGGACAAGGGGCGCGTGGAGGAGTTTGGGACGCCGGCTGAGTTGTTGGAGCTCCGGGGGAGCTTCTGGCGACTGGTGAAGGAAGCGGGGCTGTTGGAGGGGGTACAGAGGTGAGGACAAAAGATGAGCCGCGGAGATTATGGGTAAGGGGAAAAGTTTTTTTGTGGAAATACAGGATACCTGGGGGTGATGAAGCGGTGTTGGGAGGGATGGAAGCGAGGTTTTTACTTCACGGCCGAGTTGGGGAAAAGGAAATTTTTCGGAGTGTGAAACCAGTGCATTACCGGATAGCATTTTTATCTGTGTATAGTATCATATGATCATAATTTGAATATCAGACTCAATCGCTGGACTTGGGTGGTGAACAGCTAGTTGGGTATGAGCTTTGCTAGATGGATAGATGGGTGGATGGATGGATGGATGGATGGATGGATGGATGAATGGGTGGATGGAGAGAAGGTCTGTTTGTGTTTCGCTTGAGATTGGTTAGGTGGTTGATTGCTTGCTTGATTGCTTGCTTGGGTTTTCTAGTTGGTGGGTTGATTGCTTGCATACTTGCTTGATTAATTGCCTACCTGCTTACCTGCTTGGGAATGGAATGGGATGGATGGAGTGGAGTTGGAAAGTTGGGGTGGTTGGTTGGCTTTTTGGTGTGATGTGGTGGAGTGTGGTCGGAGAGTGGGTTGAGTTGAGCTGATGATGAAGAGGAGGAGGAGGAGGAAGAGGAGGAGGAGGGATAGATAGACAGAAGATGGAGGTGGTGAAGGAGGATGGCGAAGGAGCAGCAGAAGGAAACAAGTGGGAGGTAGGTGTATAGATGTATAAATATATAAGTATATAGCAAGAAAAAAAGATGGAGATATCACCGCAGCAGCAGCAGTCCCTCTACCTACTCTATTCGTGCATACTGTGATTCAGTGCTTTAGATGTGGATAAACATCTATCTATCTATCAATCTATCTATTAACAACAACAAAATACTAAATCGCAAAAGTGTCGATATCGTAGCCGGTGCGGTAGGTATGGTAATGATGTAGTAGTAATAATAGTAATAGTAATAGTGTACTATTATAGGACACAAGCAAGTAGAAGAAAAGGGTATTGTTATTTTGAATATATTCTTTGCTGTATATTTATATGGTTCGAGCCGAGTTTGATTTTTACTTCATGTTTGGTTTAGTTTA